TCTCTAAGAATAGTTGTGTGCAATAGATTGAGATATTTCAACTTTGAATCAAATAACCCGCTGCCACAAAAGAGTTGTTTTGATGGTATCCGACCTCAATTCTTTTTTCTTATTCGAAATGGTTGTTTTGCTGGCACCAACACAAATTCTTGATTTTGACGTGAAGGCGCTTGATAGACGATGTCCATTAAGATGGTTCATATAGACGTCTGTACAACGTACCGAATCAAAAAACACCATAAAAATGTGCTTAATTCCTAAGGACTTCCAGAGGGCAACACCAGTCACATAAGCTCCAACGTGCCCCTGATTTGCGGTTTTAATTTATAACACAGCCTTAATTCATCACCTCATTCCTACTCAAGTTTGGCTAATTAGGTTTACGTTTCTGGCAACAATAATAGATGTGCCTTGCCCATTTTTGGTTTCCGTTTCTGTCCTTCTTGAAAGCATGTGAGACAACAGCTATTTTGATATTTGGAAGCCTAGAAACCTATGCACGTTTACTTCGAACGGGACTTAGCAGATCAGGGTTGCCGCAAACGGACCGGATAACAATAAATTCAAGACATCCAACTCCCTGACTAAACATGTCATCTGAAAGCAGATAATTTCCGAACGCTTACTTAACCTAGAGCACGCAAATAAAGTTGATATTACATTTCCGTGCCTATTTTAGTAAGGGCACTCTCAAAATGCGGAATTTGTTTTTGAAAAGTCTGCAGTCTTTGAAGAATTAAATTTCTGTTGTTGTAAATTAGGTAATTGGGGATTCGCACGTGATGTCGCTAAGCTTTCTTCCTTGTTCGCGCCGGTAAGCAACGATTTTGTACAGCGTAGTGCAGAACTAACTGATCTAACAGTTTAACGAAAGGTAAAGGCGTTGATTTTACAAAATGCTGCTATCTAGATAAGAACATATTTATTCCAATAACCCACATTTGTTGTACCCTGCGTAGTTTGGAAAACTCTGGGCGGCAGTCGAACTTGTGTCAACTTTGATCATTCTTTGATTCGGCATTTTTCTATAGTTAATCTCACAAGCATAATAGTTTCGCAGTAAGTCGGTTAGGAGACAGCGTTTCATAAGATGCCTAATAATGCTGCAGTTAAAAACAAAGCAGCTTCTTCATTTCGAAGAATCAGATTGCCAAAAGATGTTGAAAACAAACCATACCTTTCAACTTTGCCACAATCTGTCTATTGGCATCTGCGTCATGTAAAATGAAGCAGGTGTATTATACAACTAACAAGCATTCCCTGAGACCCCTGCTTCAAGCTATGCCATTAACCCTCAGCGGTAATATTTGTACGAAATTTTGACGCGTGTTGCTGAATCATGTGTGGGAACAAATGCAGATTATTTTAGTTACTGCTCATGCCCTCTACATGTGATCACAGTCTACATTAAAAACGCCCTGATCTGTGTCCAAGATGTGTGTTCAATTTTTTGGATAGCAGAAGGACATATGGAACGTATGTGGCTGAGTTACCTGATTGCCCAGCTCAAACAAATAAACAGGTTTACAAGGTATCAGTCACTATTGTATAGCAATGCGACCACCGACGTGTTTTCATTTTTTTAATAATTTACGGCGATAAGTTAAACTGACTGCGCTGACTATAATTAGTGCTGTGGTTAGGAGAATCAAAATCCGTACCTTTGAGTTATTCCATTTTTTCCTGCAATTTTTCTGCAATAAGTGTACAGAAGTCGGTCGCGTATGTATCCAGCTATCCTGAAACTCTTCAAGCACTTATATTTAATTTTATCCGGCACCGTACAGAATGACATAGAAAAGTCCGATTAATAAAGATGATCAGGTGCTCCTTGTCGGAATGCCCATCTACCAACGAAGTGGCAACTGCTGTTGAAGATAACACAACCCATGTTGAGACTCGACCTGTGTACAACGGGAATTAGAGGACATATTGTTATGGAGGTTGCCAGTTTCACTTGTTCAGCAGTGTTTTACAATGGATGCAGGTAAATTCAAGCCAAAGAATACAACCAAGCGCCAGTGGTCTGTAGATACATCAGAATATTTACAAACAAGAACGGCGTGGGTTCGGGAGCGCACTGTAAGCAAACCGCAACTAAACGAAACAACCTACGCTGTGCTCCCTAGCTTTTTCGGATAGACCGACCGGCAAAAAACCTCACCAAAGTTTCCATATATCTCCACATTACCAGCAATCTATAAATATCTTAGAGGGAAATACATCAGACCTGATGAGTGGAACTTTCATACAAGAGAATATACTTTAAAGAGTCAGTCGCAAAATCTGAACAAACGATGTGTGACCGGTAATTGACAGATGACAATATTGTTGATAATGACGATGTTTATAATATGCAAGATAATTACTCACCCGCTCAGGTGAGCCATGAATTTGCGACCCACCATAGTTTCGCTTGATTCCGAGAACGATGGTTGCACGTGATTTTTAGCTTCATTGCGAAGGCCGATATCGCCTATAGGACAAAATGGCTAGCAAAAACG